TACAGGATGTGGTTGGGGGCATGGTTATAACAATCCTGATGAGATTGCTGCCTTTTCCTTAATTTCCTGCTGCCTTCATGTTTGCCTTGAAATTCATAGTCATAAGCATGTTGTCATTACTGTTTTGATATGCAAACCATAGTACTGCTCCTCATCAGTAGTCCTTACTTGACAAAAACCCTACCTAAAGTTTCTTTGCCAGATTTATTCATTTATTCTCTGTCATTGGACTAGATGACCTCCAGGTTTCTCTCAACCCTGAGAATCTGTGACAATTTCAATCACTGGATTTCTTTCTCTCTTTAATATGATCTAAAAGACATAAAAAATATTAGAGGATGCAAAATAGGTGTAGTTCAGTCAAGGCAGAAGAAATCAGTTCATACCAGTTCTCTTCTATCATCTAAATAAGTCAGTACACTTGCAATGTAATTTTGGTCTTTTTGAAATTTGCCCATTTTCCAAAAAATAAAAGAAGACCCATCCTGTGAAGTACCAAGGTTGATAGTTTCATCTCTGTAGGCAAGGTGAATTCTTTTGATAATATTCCATCTTACCATTCGGCACAGCAGGGGATTCTTGTTGAGCAGAACTATGAACATTTGAGGAAGTGGATTTTGACAGCCTCTGCACAACTCTTTAAAAATGTGTTATTTATTATTTTAAAATATCAGCAGTAAACCTCATAGTTTAAAAAAGACAACCCCATTTTTGTCAACGTACAATTCTTTATGCTGTTAAAAGCAGGTTATACACTTCGAGGGGAGACCAGCTCATGGCGACTTGTTTCCGAAGACTTACCACTCTTACCTCTGAAGGTTGCAATTTGTTTAGGTAGGTTGCATTAGGCAGAGGTCTGCAGATAAACATCAAAGTTGTGTTAAGTCAATGGTGATAATTCCACATGCCATGTTTCATAATTATGCTTTTCAGAGACCACAGAGCACTAATTGGCTTGGGTGGTTGTTAGTTTCATTATTTGGTAGTAGAAAACAGGACCCGGGAAGGTTGTGTGATTTTTCTCTCCATCTCTCAGTGACTGGATAGGAAGAGAACCAAGCCTGTGGTCTTCCTGTGAAATTTAGTAGTCCAAGCAGAGCAAAATATCCACCCTGTGTTTCCCTCTGGAGGCTGTGATTGTGAAAGTGTTGTGTGTGATTTTCCAGTCAATATTTCTACACATTTACTTATTGTCACAAAAGTTCTGGGTCTTTCATGTGGGGCTCTAAGCCTTAAAATATAAAATCCATGCCAAAATAAAGGATCCCTATTATGGGCAAGTCGCTCTCGCTCTCGCTCTCTCTCCCCCTTTTTCCTTTTTAGAAATAATACTTCACGATAAAAACAAATAAACGTGAATGGCAACTGAAAAAGCATTGCTTCCTTCTAGAAAACCACTAGGATTTGCATAAACCACTTGACTGTCTGGTAAATGATTACCTGCTCTGTCAGTCCCTGGGGACTTTTAACATTAGGCTATTTGCATTTTTAGAGATAAGGAAAGTTCTAAATTTGAAGGTGGGTATTTGTTACACTCTTCAGATGATGACAGTTTACAAAACTCTTTATAAAGTCAGTAAAAACATTACCTCTTCTGTATTGGGATAACCACATGAATTAAATTAAAGGCCTTGAAGGAGTTTGAATGTGTCCTGTGCATAGCCTGTTAATTATGTCCTTTTGGTAAAACTGAGATGTGTTAAGGCTAAAATCTCAGAATATTACCACTTTGAGAATTGGAAAGGAAGTTTAAAAGATTTTCTATTGTCACTCTTAAAGCATCCACAAGGAGACATTTACAGCAGTGTAAAACAGCCTGGCCGCCTCTGTTCGGTATTTGCCGCTGAAGTAGATTTGAGGAAGAGATTGATGTCATACAGAGCTGGAATTTCACTGGGGTTCCATCCTGGAAAAGCAGATTGACGTTAACATTCTTGTAACTAAGTCCATGTCCTACTGACAGTGAAATAATAGCCACCTTTGAATTTATTATTTTTTATCTGGCAACTGCAAGCATAGTTTATTAAACTTCGAATTGCTGAAGCCTGGCAGTGTTATGGGTGAATTTGCATAAACTCTAACTGATACTTTTTCCTGTATTCAATTTTCAGGTTACAAATAGTTTGAAACAGTTTCTTTCATTTTGAGTTCATATATAGTTACATTAAAATTTTTCCTTTTTGGGGCGCCTGGGTGGCGCAGTCGGTTAAGCATCCGACTTCAGCCAGGTCATGATCTCGCGGTCCGTGAGTTCGAGCCCCGCGTCGGGCTCTGGGCTGATGGCTCAGAGCCTGGAGCCTGTTTCCGATTCTGTGTCTCCCTCTGTCTCTGCCCCTCCCCCGTTCATGCTCTGTCTCTCCCTGTCCCAAAAATAAATAAACGTTGAAAAAAAAAATTAAAAAAAATTTTTTTCCTTTTATTTTTATTTTATTTTTTGTGGTTTTCAGACTTCGATAGCACCATATTTTGTCTAGGGTTGTAAAGCATGCGGGCTTATCTTGATTTATCTTGAGGTGACATCAATGCCTTCAAAGTCAGAGGGGGCCACACACAGTCAAGGCAGGTCTTTGTGGAGGCAATGGACAGAATACCAAGGCTGATCCATTATCATCATGATCATCATGGCTAACATTGTTTGAGGGTTCATTTATATCCATTTAATTCTCACCGCAATCCTGTGAAGTATGTGAAACTTAACAATTCCTTATTTAAAACCCTTAGGGTCGGATGTGTTTCAGAATTTAGAGTTTTTTGGAGTTTAGAAAGGTAATCAGGGGTAATACCATGTGTTACACAAAATCTTCAGTGGGGTCCGGGAAAACACCTCAAAAGCATCCCCTTTAGAATTTCTTCAGGGAAACGTCTGAGTGGTCACACTGAGTATTAATAAAAACCATAGATACTTTCATGTTAATTCAGATCAGGTCTTGCCACCAAATGAGGTTGGCCATCATCTTATGAAAACATTTCTGTGTCTTTCTGAACTTCTGGTAGATACCAAATAAATTTAATAACATAACAAAATTTTGTGCTTGTTTTGGAAAACTAGAAGAAGCTTGGTGCTTTCTCTCCCTCCTGTACACTATCAGAGAACACCCTCCTTTTTATTATCCCCCACGAATTATACTTCTTAGGCAGTAATTACTCTTCTGCTTTCTGTAGATAGTAAATTTCTCAAAGCTATGATATTTCATACCGAATGAATGGAATTTAACAAGGTGAAATATCACAAGGAAAAACAAAGTTAGACTGCAAGGATTGAGGCATTGTGTCCTAGCCGACAGGCGTTTAGCAGTATGTTAAGTAACTAACAACGTGAAGAGGCCACCAGCAATGTGAACACACTTCAGCATATAGTAGGAGTGCAGTATTCAGAATGTGGGAGTTAGTCAAACCTCACTGGATCCAGAGCATATCTGGAGTCTTGTCTTCATTTCTGGTTGGCATACTTTAAAGGGATGCAGGCAGTGTGAAATCTCTTCCGGGTAGACTGCTCAGGAGAGCGGAACCGCTTGAAGCTGTGTCGTGTTAAGACACAGGTGAAATAATTGGGCAAGTTTAGTTGAGTTTTGCCAGTTTCTAGCAGTATTTGACTACCCTACCTGCTCAAATGAGTAATGTTAGCTTCATATTGATGGGTGCCAGCTGTATGCCATGTCCTAAGCTATTTAACACTTGGGATACAAAGAAGGAAAGACATGGGCCCTGCCTGTCACAGGCTTCATGTCTAATGGGACACAGAAATCTATACAACTATTTCCAATACAGTATGTTAAGTGTAACCATAGACACAGTATGAGGCCGCACAGAGAAATTGTGATTAGCTCTCTGTGGTGATGGGGTTGGAAGGCTAAAGCCTCCGGAGAGAAACTGAATTCTTTTTTTTTTTTTTTCATCGAGAGAGAGTGGGGGTGGGGGAGAGGGAGAGAAACTTTTTTGTAATTTTAAATGTTTATTTTGAGACAGAGAGAGGGAGAGTGTACACATGCAAGCGGGGGAGGGGCAGAGAGAGAGAGGGAGGGAGAGAATCCCAAGCAGACTCTGAGCTGTCAGCATAGAGCCTGACATGGGGCTTGAACTCACTAACCGTGAGATCATGATGACCTGAGCCGAAATCAAGAGTCAGACAAGTGTCTGACTGAACCACTCAGGTGTCCTGAAAGAGACAGACAGACAGTGAGAGAGAGAATCTTCAGCAGGCTCCACGCTCAGCATGGGGCTTGACGCAGGGCTCAATCCCACGACCCCGGGATCCTGACCTGAGCTGAAATCAAGAGTTGGATACTCAACTGACTGAGCCACCCAGGTACCCCGAGAAACTGAATTCTGAGCTTGGTTTTGAAAAAAAAAAAATTAAGTGAGTGAGATAAAATTGAGAAAGGACAGCATAGGCTTGTTCAAATATTTGGAAGGATGTTATGTATAAGAAGGATTGACATTGTGCAATATGATCCCCAGGGGCTCAGGGCCCCGTTGGGGAAATGTGCAGGGAGAGAGATTTTGAAGGAGTCTTTGATAGAGCCGTCCAAAGGCTTCTTTGGAATGTTTGGAGTTCCCAGTCCTTGGATGTGTTAAAGCATAGACGAGTCAGTTGTTTGGTGGCAACAGTACAGTAGCACGTGGTGGGGGCAGGGGTATCACACGATGGCTAGAGGTGAAGCACAGTGAAGTGCTTAAGGGCATGGGTTCTAGATCTGACTCCTGGAACTGGTCCTTCTAACTACTGGCTCTGTGACCTGAGCTAGGATTGTTAGGAAGTTAACATCGAAGGGCTCAGAACTGCACCCGGTACACAGTAAGTGCTAAATAAGTAGCTAATGAATATTAGCTGTTATTGTTGTCGTTGGATGGGTGGTCGACATACCCCTTGAAGTACCTCTCACCTTGAAAGACTGAATTTCTGCAAATTTCTACAACATTTTCAAGAGAGGCTGGTACCCCAACTCTCTCTAGCTCATGCTTTTCTTTGTCCCATAGATAAAGTGGCCTCGTGAATAGGAATGCCTGCCCGAATATCAGAATTGGAGATCATGGATGAAGATCGATTAACTGAAGAAGTCTTGGATAAGTTTGTTAATTGTCATGAACAAACATATGAAGAATTTCTGAGCACTTTTACTCATCTTTCAAAAGGTAAAATGGAGAAGTCAACTCTCTAGAGCAGTAGAGATAAAGAATTTTATTATAATTTTGTGTCTTTGCTGTTTTTTCAAAAAGACTATTTAATAAGCATTCATTCATTCCTTTCCTTTGATCAGCTAATGCATATCAGGGATTTGAGACTGATGCATGCAAATTCCAACATTTCTCTACAACCAAGAGTTGTATTATGGAGTCAGAGCCATCGAATTTGAGAACTAAAAGGGACCCGAGAAATCATTTCGTATAATTCATTTGCTTTTGAAGAGATATAAGCACAAAGAGTAGAGGTTTTTAAAAGCGTGTTTAAAATGTTTAAGAAATATAGCGTAATATAGGCTATGGAGTTACACTGTATCCCTTTGGGTCCTGGCATTGCCACTTTCTAGGTATGTGACCTTGGGAGAGGCAGTTGAGTAAGGGGGGTGGGTAATAATGGTGCCTTAAAGGTTTATGAAGGTTAATTGAGAGACTCCAAGTAAAACCCTGAGCAGAGTGGCTAACACAAGAAATACTCAATGCTAGGCATTGTTGGTTGTTGTCACTGGGATGATAATGATGCTATGGTCACTGGAGACTGGAAACACCCCTCCAGACTGGAAGTGATAAACCGAAGCCTAAAGTCCAAGCCCATGTTGTGTGTTTCATTACGTGTCTTGCTCGCCTCATACAGTGGTGTTGTGTTTTTTCGATTGAGTCAACCTTTAAAAGTTGGGAAATGTTACATAAAAAGTCTTGATTTATGGTCTTCTTCTCTGATTAAGAGGGAAGACCTGTTACCTCTGATTTCCCTGATGGCAAGATCAGCTAGAGCTCGGGAGCCCTTGCCCTGTGAGCGCCCTGTTTGTCACACCCTCTGGCATTCGCACGTTGTGAAGAAGTGTGTATGCGTTGCCTGCTTCATTCACCCAAGTGGCTCCTGTAGGCATTTGAGTTTGTAGTCTTTGTTCTGGGTTCTGCCTCAGATGGTCTGCCATTGGCTCGGTCTCAACTTTGGTCCTTTCTGGGTCCCTGATCCACATTTGTGAGACAATTTGTTCTCCCCCCTTGCTGCACATCGGACTCACCTGAGGGGTTTTTTAGAGCATGGTGATACCAGGGCCCACTCTAAATCTTAGCTGGGGCCCAGGAATTGGTATTTTGTAAAAATTCCCCTGGTGATTCCAATGTGTACCTGATTGAGAATAGGGAGTTTCATAATCTCCGGGGTGATCACACTTTCAAGATACTTCATGATTTTAAGTCATGATTCATGTGCCCTTAACAAATGTAAAAGAAGGGTATTTATAATGAAGAAAAGGAAAAGTGATTCTAACTGGTTACTTTGTGCAAGATAGTTGGAATATTGATATTTGTTTTGTTTACGCTTGAAAACTGTGGGCGATGTGTTTATTTACACTTAATGGAGAAATTAGGAAATATCTTGTTTACTTTGAGGCTGTGAACGATCTGTTTTGACATGATATGTCGATCAAATTAATCTTGCTTAAGGCCAAATCATCTTTTGGTCTATAAACTTGGGTTTGGGAAGATGTTTGCTTTCTCAGAGCCTAATGATTTATTTCCATCCTTTCTGTACCTAACAAAGCAGTAGGAATGGTTGGGGTGGGGTGTGGAAACAAGGGCAAAACTAGCAGAATTAATATATTTTGTATGACAATTGCATTTTGTGTGTGTGTGTGTGTGTGTGTGTGTGTGTGTGTGTGTGTGTGTTTTTGGAAAGAGTGTGTATGCAAGTGGGGGTGGAGTGAGGTGGGGGGAGAAGGCTGGAGGGAGAGAGAATCTTAAACAGGCTCCATGCTCAGTGTAGAGCCCAATGAGGGGCTCGATCCCACAACGGTGAGATCATGACCTGAGCCAAAATCAAGAGTTGAATACTTAACTGACTGAGCCACCCAGGCACCCCACCAATGGCATTTTGATAATCCAAATTATTTTGGAAGTTGCAAAGCTGACTTTATTTTCATACTCTGGAAAAGTAAGAACTTCTTGCAAGGACTTGAATGTTTTAAAGGGGTTATGATGTTTTTTGTTTTGGGGGTAAGGGGCATATTGTGTTTTCAGATTTCTGTAAGATCATTGCATGCTGAGAAAGAAATTGTTGCAGATGTGGTGACTTCATTCTGAGTTCAGTTTTGTGCCCCAAATTGAGCTGAAATAAATGATGATGCAAGTTACATTAACTGCATCTCCAAGCACACTCTTTTTTTTTTTTCCCTTTCAAAATATCCCTAGGCACCAGTTCACATTATAAACTAATGACCTGAAAAAATTCCTCTTAAAGCACAAAGAATTGTGAGTGCAAAAATGTGTCTTAAATCAGTAAGCATCCTTCCCCTCCCCGCCCCGAAACATTTAAGTACCTTCTGAAAAACCAAATAGTACTCAGGGACAGGCCTAGGAGTCCGCAGAATTGATCGAACTGAATGCGGTTAGTTTTGTTTTAAGGAAGAGATGAAAGCTGTTTGTTCAAAGTTTTCCCGTTCTTTCCAGCCCTTCATTTGTCTTGGTGTGCTCGCTTGTTTTGCTGGTGTGTACAATCTTCTCTCTGTGAAAGTGGTAATCAGCACACCGGCTCATGTACATTTCTTGAGTAAGTTTGGTTTCTCAAGTCTATTACAATTTCCTCTGATTGACTGTTCTATTTATTTTTATAATAGTTATATGCCAGAATGCTTATAAGATTCATTTTCTTTCCAAGACTGTTAAAAGGGTCAGTAATCCTATTAAAAATATTTCCCTGGAAAAAGATTAAACTATAGCCTGATTGAAAGAAATTCACATCACTGTTTCAGACTGTTGGAAAATCATTGGAAACTGTGAATATTGTAGCAAAAGTCTCACTCCAATACATTGATGTTGATCCTATTTTGCAAGGGTTTTGTTTTGTTTTTTAAAGCAACTCTGTTTTTTTCTTAACTATGGTACATACTTGATAATAAATACAATGTTCTATCAAAATGTTTATAGAGACATATTAATTATGTGTTTCAAACAGACAGTTGTAATTGAATTCTCAATAGTATCATCAGTTCAAGAGAGTAAGACAAAGTTGTGAGATTTGTATTAGAAAATCAGTGTGCAGACTTTGGTTTTATTCATTATTGGTGAGATGTTTATTATATTGTTGATATTATTGAGGGTAAAGATAAGAGGCTAAGTTTCAATCCTTGGCATCTCAATTTCTTTGTGAATGTAATTCTTTTATCCATATAAAGGAAAAAAGCGCCTTTTCCTTCTTGTCTGTCATATTTCTATCATTTGCTTGGGTTAGGAAAACAGAGATGTGAAAACTTATATTTGATTTTCTGCTAATGCATTTATTCATTTATTCATTCATTAATTCTGTAACTCCTAATGGTCTAGGTATTGTTTTAGGTGCTAAGGATCCCAAAATAAATTAAGATATACTTTGTGTTTTCAAGCATACACAGTCCAGGATGAGAGATACATAAGTAAACAAAAAAATTACACTATTGTATGATAAATACCATAATAGAGAAAAGCAGGGTGTTCCGTGAGAGCTCACAGGGAGGCCATCCAGTCCCTGCCTGGGTGGGGAGGACAGTAAAATCTACTCATTGGAGACAATGTCCATGGTGAGGCTGCAGTAACCACTGAACCAGTGGTTCAGTGCAGGAGGTTTTGACAGATAAGAGCCAAATTGAACGATGTTAAAAATGCCTCCATTGTTGGTTGTCCTTTGGATCATATTTCCCTTTGTGTTGGTACTAATATATATATTTTTTAAATAATAGGTTTTTAAGGTAGAGATGTAGCCTTATCCTAGTGAGGGTGAGAATTGTTTCTAATTTCCTTCCACACCAAGATCAATCACCATACGAGCTGATAGGGGAGGCATTTGCTCCCATTTTTTTTTTAATTTTATTTTATTTTTTAATTTACATCCAAATTAGTTAGCATATAGTGCAACAATGATTTCAGCAGTAGATTCCTTAATGCCCCTTACCCATTTAGCCCATCCCCCCTCCCACACCCCCTCCAGTAACCCTCTGTTTGTTCTCCATATTTATGAGTCTCTTCTGTTTTGTCCCCTTTGCCGTTTTTATATTATTTTTGTTTCTCTTCCCTTATGTTCATCTGTTTTGTCTCTTAAAGTCCTTGTTTGAGTGAAGTCATAT